ATGAGATTAAAAAAATTAAAAGACGCTCCTGCGAAAGCTTCTTTTAGTCTTTTTTTGACTGCGTGTGTGTTTTCGTTTTCCACGTCGACAATGTGTCAAAGTTGTCATAAAAAGTTACTAACATCCCAATAGACATATTTCATAGAAATATAACATATTTCGCATAGAAAACTTTAAAAAATGTTCCTTTACCTCTGCTGTGCGACGATAGCCTAATGGAAGAATCTCTGACGAATACGAATTGGTCGGGTTTCGATCCCATCTTGAAGCAATCGGGCTTCTACTCACAGTGAAGAGCTGTGATACAGCCCAACAGTCTGTCTGTTGATTATGTGTGCGTATGTTATTATATATATATAAATCAATTTTCCTGTTCTCTATGCATATTTAGTTATTATGCAGTTGTGTATAGGTAATTATGAGAAAAGTATGGTTATTCATTAGTTGGAAATACAGTAGATTAAAAAGTTTTATGTGTACGAATATTTGTTTACCCCAATATATAATATTTATATTATATATATATATATATATATATATATATATATATATATATATATATATATATATCACATATATAGCTGGTGTTAATGAAATAGAGCTCGGTGTAATAAAACAGAGCTATTAAGGATATATAAACAAATATACATATTATCCATCAGCGGCAGCACGACTCGGAGTTTCATGCACAACGCATTCTTCAGACGCTAAGTATCTCTCTCTCTATATATATTCCCATTTTGGCAAATTTATAAATCATTGTCTGGTTTCTATATCCTATTTAAACATTCACTCATTCTTTCACACACAAACATTTTTCCTGATCTGCACGTAATTTTTTCGTCGCAAAGACTAATAGATTTGCGGTATTTAATGTCTCGTATGCAATATTCCTGTTTGAAGTTTATTCATCTCCACACGTCGCCAATTACTGTTAGTTTGCGGGTGGAAAGCTTTTGATGTTCCACAGATCTCAGATTTTACCTTCTCTTATGGTTGTAAATTTTTCTCCGCTTCTTCTCTCATGGATGTGTGCTTATATATCTACATATCAACCAGTTTAGTCAGCGTGTACAGATTCTACACGTCCCTGGGCCAACCACGTATTTAGATGTCGGGAACCTTCACTGATATCCAGTGAAGCCGGTAATCTGAACCTGTCGGCGAGGAATTAAACTATCATATCAACCCGCTTCTTCACCTCCCCCGTCTCATACTACACGTGTAGTAAATTTCTTTCCAGAATATTCAAAATATTTTTTCATAGAAATGAATAATTTGTTGGCTGTTTATTTTATATCGATCAACTATTCCGGTCACATGCCCTTAACACTCAATAATTTCTTTCTTTCTTTTTTTTGGGGGGAGGGGGGTAATGTATTCATATATACGACGAATAGTCTGAACACAGCAGATGGTTTGGTTTATTCTAACAGATGAGCGACATTTGCATATTACTTGCTCAGTTCTTTTAAGGATATTACGGTAAAATTATTTGCTAGAAGCAAAAATCTCCTTCGCCATTTTTTATTCAAAAAGTGTCTTTGGCATTTAGCATTCTGTTTGGTGTTTGTCAAATCAGTCAAAGCAAGTGATTCGTTTGCAAACTGTATGGAAGATCAGAAGTGATGAAAATGTTTTTATTTCGCATGAACTTGTGGAAACATATTTCATTCAGTATTTGTCTTTTTTTTAATATATTTTTCCTCAAAATAAAATTTTTTAAATATTCACGAGATAAAATGCTGGAATTATGAAGCAAGTCTGCAAAAAAGATAAACTTAAATAAACACAGTATAATTTCTGTTCTAATGGCTGATGCTAACCAATACGAGAGTGATACATTGCTACTTTTTGGACTAACATTTTCCACTGACATAAAGTGGAATGATTATATTGAATCAATTGCTAGATTTACTGACATGAATGTAGTTTCATTGTGTGGTTCTAGATAATTTTTATCGGCAGGCTCTATCTACCATTCGTTCGTGCATCGATCATTGTTAACACATCTGGTTTCGTGAACCAACAATAGATTTAGATACTCTTCACAAGATCCAAAGAAGAATCTGCAATATTATTCGTCTTTATCTGGTATCTCAGCTTCAGTTAATTCAGACCTCCGTAACGTAGCTTCACACTGACTTTTCTGTAAATATTTTCATGATTATTGGTCTGATGAACTTTCCTCTTTGGTACCTCGACGTCATGCGAAATACTAGGTTGACAGCTAGGTCTCATTTTAAAATTGAAATTCTTAGATGTAACCGTAAGTTCTATACTGAAAGATTCTTCGCTCTCACGCCTGCTTTTGAAATTCTCTTTTTCAATCGTGATTTACAGTCAACTTTGAGCTTAAAAAATTTAAATACAGAGTCAATCGTTATCTTCTGCCGCCTTAAATCCCGTTCTTTTATCGTCCTTCTTACTTAATAATATTTTTCTCAGCCTATGTCACTCTCAGTAACTCCTTGCATCTTAGAGACTTTATCATCTTGATTGTAGTTAGATGATTTCAAAAAATGAAACAAAGAGATATAACAGATGGAACAGTGGTGATAATTACGTGAATATTACTTACCTACACAATAAAGCAAACCGTGGCTAGATAGATAATAACTTGATTCTCAAGCTAAACCATTGCTTCTCAACATTTTCAGCCTATGGACGATTTTTACTCTTCAAAAAATTCAAATAGACTACGCCTATTTTTACTTTTAGGCTGTTCAATTTTTCACACTAAAATGGTTAATAAATAACGACGATATTTTAAAATTTTCAAATATAATGGACATACGTGTAATTAAACAAAATTTTAATCCTTCAAATTATGAATAATTTAGATAGATTTTTGTGAAATGGCTACAATATTTCATGGTTACGAATTCTCTGAGTAGAACTAGGAATGCAATGTGGACCAGGACGCCGGGTATCACTGATCTAAATCATAGGTTGCGAATTTTTCATTTTTATAAAACGTTTAATTTATAACGATTTGTAAATTTCAATGTTTTAAAGACATCAACTTTTTTCTGAATTATGCATAAAAAATGTTAATTACTTTTTCATTTGGACATTATGTAATAAATAAAATATATAATTGTCAGAATAAACTTATTTCTAATAGATTTTAGCAATATTAATAGTAATATCGATACGAAATTTTTTAATATGTCTCCGCAGTTTATGGAAAATGTAGCGTATATTACCGCATAGCATGAAAATACATTACAGATTCAATGATGATGAAATATGAATAAACATATGAACTAAATGAATAAATAATAAAATATATAATAGGAATAAATATATGAATTAAATATTTTATCATGCATTTTATTTGTTTGCGGAAATATCTTTATAAACTTACATACATCCAAGTAAAAATATGTAAAAATAATTTACATTAAAATACACACATTTTATGCATATTCTCAAATATAAAGGGATTAAAAGTACGTCATAAATAGCCATGTTTTAATTTCAATCCACACAAGAGGATTATATCGGGAATGAAACTATGTTATAACTGTGTTATGCTACTGATAAATGACAAAAGTGTATCTTTTCAGTGCGACAAGACAACCGAATGCCTCAATGGTGTCTGTCTCTACCACTGAGCTATCTTTACTCGATAGAATGAGTCAGCCAAATCTAGCGTATTGTTTTTACAAATGTAAACAGACACCAAAAAACGGAAGTGCTCCATTCGTTTTCCTGAAGAGATTCGCATTAACGCAGGTGGTTTTAGAATTAGCTTATCATTTAACAGTGCTCAATTGAAAATATATTTTCAAGAGGTAAATTATATATATATATATATATATATATATATATATATATATATATATAATTTTTTTATAAAAAATTTTATAACATAAGTATGTTATAAAATCACTACAAAATAGCCATTTTGTTTCAACACACTCTGATATTACTTTGATATATATATATATATATATATATATATATATATATATATGTATGAGAGAGAGAGAGAGAGAGAGAGAGAGAGAGAGAGAGAGAGAGAGGAGGTGGTGGAGTAATGGATAGCGGCTTGGATTGAGGAATCGGTGAGCCGAGAGATAATTTCAGTCGAATCCATTACATTCACTTACGTGCTAATAACCTTGGGAAAAGATGTGAATCCTCTTCTTCTCCCTCCAGCTATCGAGACTGGGTTCTATAGCCTTGGATGGCATCTTGTCAGACAACTTTGAATTCAAAGACTGCCGAGGGTCGTTTGGGGACCCTGTGGCACGTAGTGCACCAGGTCTCTGTATTCGGCCCTTCAAAAAGTGTGGATGGTCCTGCACGAAACCTTCACCATTATAATCAAATCTCATGTGATGCTGTCGGGCTGTGGATTTCCTAGGAACCGATTTGATTGACCCTCATACGTTGAATTCGACGGGAAATTCGAGTATATATATATATATACACACAAATGTAAAAGAATGAATGGAGCGAGGACAATAAATTTAGCGGAATCAAGAAGACAGTAGACAACGAGTGACTTTTTATTTAAATTTATGAAGATCAAATTTGGCCGGAAAGCAAGCAAAATACCACAAGCCAGAAGTGCGAGAACTTACGGTTACTGCTCGCCAATTTAACTATAAAATGTTAAGACCCTTTTACCAATCTAGTACTCCGCTTATCTTCCTAAAGTGTTGGCACCACAGAACAAAGTTCTTCAGAACAAACTCAAGAAAATATTTATAGCAAATTCACAAAGAATCGACATTAATATGGTACGAAACCGGGATTTCCGATCAGTTTCATTGACATATGTTTATTTTCTGTTGATTAGACCCAAACATAATGATTTAAGCAGTCATTGAATAACTTGAGTATTAAGAATTGCACAAATGATGGGAAACATGATTACTGTTCGAGCACTGGCTAAGTTGCTAATAAGATCATCATATTAAGTATATTCAAATATGTACCTAAGTTGTATTTAAGGTGAAGGAAACAAAGAAAAAAATTCTACTTACGACAGTCTTTAACGTTACAGTAATCCCATCTCATTTTCCGATCTGATGTGTAGCACCAATTCCGTTCCGTATCCGGTGTTGTCCGACAATAATTCTCCGGATAAATTTTATCCACGAAGCTGTGAGGTCTGTAAGTGTGTTTGTGAGGATGTTGTGAATCCCATCGCTGACAAGTGTAGAGATTCACAGTCACTGATTTCGTTCCCATATATTGGTCGATTTTGCCATTGTAATAACATTTGTTTTCTGCAGAAGAGAAGTAAAATAGAAGTTACATTTAAATACTTTATTTCGTGCGATGTTTTATTTTTTTATTTTTAAACGAAGAGAAACTCAAATGCGAAATACAATTATTTTAAAATAATTTGAGTTCGTAGACAATATAGTATTTTTCGGCATTTCTTTTAAATTTTACATAAAAATAATAAAAAAAAATGATGTAAATAAGACAACTGAGAAAATCCGTGAATTTTACGTATTTTTGTTTAGTTTTTTTTTTCCAGGAAAGCAGAACTTTAGCCAAAAAACTTTCAAGAAATAAATTGAGATATAATATTCAATAAATTAAAAGAATTTAATATCCAAATATTTATCAAACATCTGGTTTGCCTTTTGATAGGAGACTTGATAAATTCCTTCAACTTTTCTTATGTATTGAATAAAAGTATAAAAATAAATATAATGAAACTGGTGTAGAGCTTAAAAATTACAATAGATAGCAATGAAAATACATTACAAATGAATAAGAAAAACTGAAATAAAAAAAAAATAGATATGTACAACATGAAAGGATATGAATATATTACGAGATAGAGAGAATTGTGTAACCCATCTGTCGTCGCTGACTCGGCATAACCGATTCGACATATGAATTTTTGGCGTGCAGAATTAACTTCAAGAATTTTTTTGTCGATAACTCCGAAATGGTAGATTTTATCAAAATTTATTTGTTATTTCCGAATTAAGCATGTGCTTTTACACCTTAATGAAACTCTTCTGCAAATTTTCATTTGAAATTGAGCGCGAGCCTTGAACTGCAAATTACCCTTTTGAGGTTTCTGAGTTCTATCAACCGGATTTGTCAACGGAAAACGATTAGGCGTCAGATTACTACTTGGTCGTTATAGTCAAATTCTCTCTCTCTCTCTCTCTCTCTCTCTCTCAAATGATTCAAATGAGATTTAAGAAAAGGAGTAACTGGAAACATTTTTAAATTAAAGAAAAAGATTAGTTGATGTTATTTTTATATAATATTTCCTTCAGTGCAGTTTCATATTTTTCAGTCGTCAAAGCCCTTTTATTCCAAATGGAAGCAAATAGTTTATCAAAACGTGGAAGAGACAAAATGATACAAGATGGATACCTTTTTATTTTTGGCACTACAAGAAAGAGAGATCTTGAAGTAATGTTTTGGCGATGTCAACACAAAGATGGCATTACTAATTTTTTAAATTTTATTTTACACAATATTTTTTGTAATTTAAGTTTTTAATTTACATTATTCCATTAGTGTTTTAATTAGATCCTTAATTCCCTAAATGAATAAAAAGTTATATTGAAAGTTAGTTGCTTTCTTCAATGCTGTTATCCTTTTTGGGGGTGAGATGGTGTGGTGTTAGCCCCCGGCCAAAATAAGTGACGTCGAAACAATCTGACGCCTAAACGGCTGTGCCCAATAGTCCCATTATTTTTCTGACGCCGAATCTGCTACGCCAAATCAGCAATGCCAAATCGCCGACGCCGAAACGTACCAAACCAAGAGAATTGATATAAGAAAATTCCGATACAAATAGGCATAAATCGATCCGAGTTAACACAATTTAATAGATCGATTTGATTTTTTTAAATATTATCAATAATTTGTGTGATATTTAAAGCAGAAAATTAAATTGGATTGTAAGAATTATTCCTTTTTTGCAATTGAATATTCCATTACCAATTCTTTAAGAATTACAAAGATTTTACCAGGTACAAATCGTGGTTATTAACCTAGATCTGAGCAAAGTATTGAGACAGATTCATATATTTCCCAAAGATATTTGCGCAAAAGTGAATGTAATGAAATTTGAAATCAACTCAGATTTTACAGGTTGGAATGTCGAACTGACCTGGGGTAGACTGTTCCAGAGAAAAGCGATAATAACAACAAGAATTGCAATATGAGCTCTGGTAAAACATGGAATGATAACAGCAAAAATTGCAATATGAGCACTGCTAAAAATGGTTGCTGAAGACATTAGGTTTATAATACCCAGAAATCCATAAATAGATGTCCTCAAGGACACATAGGTAAATACGATAAACATTGAAATAAAGGCGTTAGTTAGGTCCAGTGATAGGAACCAGAGAGTGTGATTTGAATAATTGGTTAAGGCGATGGAGAAATTGGAGAGGGGACTTAAGAGGGGATAACTGATATCTCATATCCATTAAACATGGCACATGGAACTAGAACAATCTAGCGAAATAAAGGGTTCAGTTTGACATTCCAACCACCTGCAGAGAGCCGGAGCGTACAACGGCCGAAACGTTGTGCTAAATATTGCAACAAAGATGAACACAATAGTCTGAATAATGTAAATAGTGTACATAATACCTCATCTCAGAAATATAGACAGATAATGAAGGGACGAAACATTGTAATATGTATGGCGACAAAGATGAGGACAATAGTCCGAATAATGTAAATAGTGTACATAATACCTCATCTCAGAAATATAGACAGATACTATTTTCATTCGTATCCAACAATCACAATAAATGTATCTGCTCCCAAAAAATAATCCTAGATATGATGATATACTACATAAACTGACAGGTTTTGAGGAGAGTTTAACCACATCTTATTTGCTGTTACTTCCAGGTTCACCCTGACCTGGGGTGGTCGCACATGTTATTTATTTATTCTTTTTTTTATTTTTTAGAGCGAGGTTCACCATTGACAAGGCCCGGGAACAACACGAGATAGAGGCTTACGTACTGAGGCCTTTTGTGTGTATAGAAGTGGAAGATAACTGTCATGACTAGACTTGAACAGGTTAAGATTGTAGTGATCGGGGTAACATCCGATTGGTAGCCGATTTCGCAGAACAGTGGTTCGCGGGGTGAAACTGCTCGAATGGAATTTACTCCTCACCGATGGAAGATTGAAGGAAGGCGGAATGATTGCTTCTATGTAAGTGACATGGCGTGTTTTTTTCTGCGAAGTCTTGCTTCAGCGGATCCAAGGAATGTAGATCGTCCGAACAATTTCAGTGGAAGTACCTGTAGACCAGTGAGAGGCTTACCACATTCCGCCTGTGGGAGAGAGTTTGATGAGTGGAGAAGAATTTGTCACACAGAAGTGCTCGGATTTGCCTTTGAATGTTATCAAGGCTGGAGGTTGAGGTCTGGGCAGCACCCGTCCAAACAATAATCCATTATTAGTCTGATCTGGCTCTTATAAATATAGACGATAGCAGGAGGGGTCAGGTACTTACTTGAGCGCTAAAGAGAGTCGACCATTTTACGTGCATCCTTAGCAATGGATTGTATGTACGAGTTCCACTTGAGGTAGGGTGCGAGTTGAGGTCCAACAGCGTATCAAAGCACGGTGCTTCCTCGAGATGACCTCCGTTCATACAAATTGTTGGTATTTCGGGGTTAGATCGGTGACGATGGAATGTAACTCGCTTGGTCTTCGAGGCGTTTTCCCCCAAGTGTGTGCAAGATCGGAAAAGATATCTGTCGCCAAACTTTGACTATCGAGAGTTTTAGAAGTGCGCCCATATATAGTCGTATCATTGGCATGATGTTTACAAATGATCTTAAGATATTTTCAGGCAGATTATTTATGTCGATAAAAAGGGGGTTGATCCAAAGACTGACCTCTGCGTGACGCCTGCGTTGACCTGTAGGCCTCCAGGAAACTGGACATTGATAAATAAATTCAGGGAGTTACCAGTTAGGAAGGATTTTATGATCCAGAAGAGCCATCCAGTGATTTCATAACTGGGGAGTATGTGTAGTAAAACTTTATGCCACACCTTGTCGAAGGTCTTTGAGATATTTAATGCTAGTCTCCTCTAGGTGTTTCCGTCGTCAAGAGCCTCATTGATCCGGTGAGTAATGGTAGTTAGAACGTCGGCAGTGGATCGGGTCCAGCAACATCCGTACTGCTCGTCCTTTCTTAATTTCGAGAGGCTCGACGACTCTCTTATTATTTATAGCGCCAAAAACCAATCTAATGACACTGAGGAAACTGATTGGTCTGTATTGGGAGGGGAAGATCGCACCCCCACGTTTTTGAAAAACGACAATGCGCTTGACGCTTTCTACACGCTTGAGAAGGATTTCTCCTTTAAGTAGCGGTTGACTGACTTTGCTTTGAAAATCCACACGTATCATAAGAAAGAAGCAGTTTAAATTTCTAGTACAAATAAAAGGAAAGAGGGCTTCGAAAAGTTAACACTCAGAATACATATTGATGGCAAGACAGACAGATGAAAACAGCTCATAATCTACCTAATGAACTTGACAGGACAGAGTTTAGGTGAGGTACCAAAAACAAAACGTATTGAGATAACGGACGGGAAATTGTGGAGAGCTATGTTCTGAAGGCACGTAGATGAATAAAAAGAGGCTTAGTTTTCTTTTCTCCAATTAGTTAACAGTGCACATGCTGTTCAGTACATCATTTCCTTACAGATGGACTGATTTTTTTGTAGTGAACGAAGGGATAAGATATGTTCCAGACTTGCACAGAGACACACTTTTGCCGCATAATATGTCAAACTTGCAAATAAATACGCTCTTTGTTCTTTTTACCATCATTAATTTCTCTTTTCAGAGTCGAAGCGAAGGCTTTTAACAAATTTCTCTATTTAATTTACATGTTCTCTTATGAGAAAATAAAAAAAAAATGTAATAATTTACGTTCTTCTGACATTCATCTAGTTGTGTTTATTTCTTTATTATAAATGATTGGGCAGTTATTATTAACGACGGCAAATTCTACACAAAGCCGCTCTACAGATATTTGACAACGCAACTCTGTTAAAATACTGTGTTGTGAGAACTCGCTTTTTAAATCTGTATTTCTTATGGGTGTAGCATAACATTTAGCGGCATTTTTTGTGTGGAATCAGCGGTTTGGGTTCAACTTACGTCCTAGTTGTCTTCAATTCACACAAATTATCTTAGGAAAGGTATGGATCCATTTCTTCTTTCTCATTCAGCTATAAGTTGAATACCAAAGTAGATTGGAA